CGGCGGCTGACAGCCCGCTTCTCCGCGGTGTCGCTTTCCCCTGCAGGAGCGCGGAGGATGGACGAAGCCGCCGGGGATTTGAAGCAGGCGCTGCCCAACGTCTGCGACAGCGTCCAGGTCCATGTGGAAGTCCACCAGAAGTCGAGCAGGTCCGTCCGATCGGGGCGTTACTCGCTGCAGCCCTTTGTCCGCCCGCCTTTCTCGGCGCTCCCGTGACTTCCCACACGGGTGTCTCTTCCCGAGGTCGAACGAACCCCTTTCTCTCAGCTTCTCCTTGTGCACCGCGCGATCCAGTCCCATAAACCGGTCGGTGGCCGTATTCCCAACTTCAGTGTGTTGTTACCTCTGGTACAGCCGAGCCCACGGCTGCGTGCAGCGCTCCAGATGTGCTCTCGCAGGCAGCCAGTGGACAGAAAGAATCCTTTTCTCTAACGCTCGCACTCCTGCCAGCACAGCCTAAAATAAACTTGACCTTATCTGTAGCACGGGCGTTCTGCAAACCCGTTGCCGACTTGCCCTCCAGTACCGCCGGGGCCTTTTCTGCACAGCTGCTTTCCGTTCTGTTGGGCTCTGGTCCGTGCTGCTGTCTGGGCAGCAGAGGCAGGGACAGGATTTCACGTTTGCTTTTGTTGAACTTCAAGAGGTTCCTGTCAAGCTATATCTCCGACCTGCAGAGATCGCTCGGAATGGCAGCCCTGCTCCCTAGTGTGTTGACAACTCTTCCTTCTTTGGTGTTATCCATAAACTTGCTGCGGTTGCTTTCCATCCCACCATCCAGAGTGTAAATGAAGATGTAAAAACAGCGTTTGTCCCAATATTGACACCACCACCCCACCTTTCCCCACCCAACTTATTGGCAGCTCTGCTTAGTCTTTGTGCTGCTAATCACAACCCTTAAAGCTGGACGGTCCAGCCACTGTGTTGTCCAGTTCTTGTCTTACCAGTTTGGCTGTCCGGATACTAGGGGAGAGTATGTCTGAGGTGTTGCGGAAGTCAAGGTGTAAAATACCCACCGCTCTCTTTTTGTCAGGCTTAAAAGACAAGGAACTAGGACTTTGCACTGAGAATGCATCACTGAAATTGCAAAATTAGGTTAAAGTCTTTCTAAATTCTTAAAATGGAAATCCTTTTCCGGTAGGTTTTTGTCTCTTCTGGAATTCTTACAGCATGTCCCCATCCTGAGGTGCCAGCAGTCCTCAAACATGAAAGCGTAGTAGCGCTTCTAAGCTAAGTGTGCCAAATTCAGTCAAGCAGCTTGGCTGTGAGCTTTTCTGGTTTTCCTAGTGAGACACAGAGTACATAACTGATCTCCGTTCTTGAAATCTTCTAGCTGTGTCATTCTGTGTCCCCTGATGTGGCCGCAAACCCAGCTAATGGTATTCTTTGGCTTGTGTCTTTTAATGCACAAATTAAAAACAAGTGTCAAACTTGCTGCTTTGCAAATGAGCTGAATTCGATAGGTTTTTTTCCCTGCATAATGTTACAGGGTGGATTGAGTGGGTTAGGGGTTTTTTCATGTGGGCTGTGTTTTGCGGAGTGGTTTATTTTGGGGATTTTTGGGATTGTTCTGTTTGCTTTTTTGTGAGATGGAAGCTGTTTTCCATGTAGGCTTAGCGTATGAAATAAAGCACTCTAATATAAGTTCATACTTCCTTATAAATGTCAGTGCCCTAAACAATGCTGTTTTTTTTCTTGTTAGTGCGGCCAAGAAAGAAGATATCAGGATGAGCGTCTTAAAGCTGCTGAACAGACATAACATCGTGTTTGGTGATTACAAGTGGACAGAGTTTGATGATGGTTTCCTTAACAGCAACGTGCAGTCCGTCTCGATTGTGGATACGGAGCTGAAACTGAAAGACAGACAGGTACTCACAGTCCAGAATGTACAGCTCTGCTCGTAGGCCTGTGAACTCGTTGTAGGCAGACTAGTGGTCGCCTGAGGACTAAGCAAGGCAAGGTCTATAGGAGGACGTAGTATCTTTTATTAGGCCGACTGGTATAGCCAGGAGAAGGTGGCTAAGTTTTTGGACCTACACCCCTTAGCAAGGTCTGAAACAGAAGTAGTAGAATCACAGAATGTCAGGGATTGGAAGAGACCTTAAAGGATCAGGACCACCTAGATCAGATCACACAAGAACGCGTCCAGGCGGGTTTGGAACATCTCCAGAGAAGGAGACTCCACAACCTCTCTGGGCAGCCTGTTCCAGTGTTCTGTTCCCCTTACTGGGAAGAAGTTCTTCCTCATGTTTAAGCAGAACCTCCTGTGTTCCAGCTTATATCCCTTTCCCCTTGTCCTATCATTGGATGCCACTGAGAAGAGCCTGGCTCCATCCTCATGGCAGTCACCCTTTCCATGTTTATTTATAAACATGAATGAGGTCCCCCCTCAGTCTCCTCCAAGCTAAAGAGACCCAGCTCCCTCAGCCTTTCCTCAGAAGGGAGATGCTCCACTCCCTTCATCATCTTTGTGGCCCTGTGCTGGACTCTCTCCAGCAGTTCCTTGTCCTTCTTGAACTGAGGGGCCCAGAACTGGACACAATATTCCAGATGTGGCCTCACCAGTGCAGAGTGGAGGGGGGGGGGAACCTCTCTCGACC